TTATTATTTTGGTTTATGTAATTTGATTTTTAATAATATATTTTTGATATTTATTTTACTTGCATTATATTAAACATAATATAGCAAAAAAGTAAAAACAATATAACTATTAAATAAATATTATAATTGMTAATAATTCAAATGTATTTATTTATTTATTTATTGTTATTTTAAAACTATAACTTTAAATATAATTGTTAGATATAGGTATTTTTGATTACTTATTGAAGGAAAATGCCTGATATTTCATTATTACTGTAAAATGGCTACGGCCATTACGGTAGAAATTTTAGCCTATATTCATAAAAATCTCTTATCAGTTATACTACAACACACTCCTATTAAATACCTACTTATTGTTTGTAGGCTGCAGTTGTAAATTAATATAGTAGCCAGTACCAAATCCCAATATGTATAGTGTATACATATAGTTTTACGAATATAATATTAAAATTAAAAAAATAATAAGCTGTAAAAGTAAAATTCCAAATTATTTTTTAAATGAACTCAAAATATGCTCAGTGTTCGATTTTTCACACATTTTTTGATATAGTGTACAGATAGTACTTAAAGTTAAGAATATTATTCATATTGTTTTATGTTATATTTTTTACAAATAATTTGTAATAATTACAATATTCCAATTGTTTTAATTACTTTGTAAAATATGTAAAATTAAAATTGTACAATAAAAACTGCACAATTTTATAGTTAATGGTCATATTTCGTTTTAAAATTGAAATATTATATTAAGGCCTACACATTTAAGCACCAAAAATATAATGTTCTTAACATTATGTTACTGCTTCAATTTTATGTTTGCTAAACTGCTATTGGGAGAAGTAGATATAGGTACTGACAAAATTGAAAATAAACTGTCTGAGGTATCTCAGGTATGTAAATAATACATAATCTCTACAATGAGAATCGATTTTGATTATTTATTTGTTATTTAAAAATATTTGTTAGGATTTTAAATTACTGATCTTTATTATAGTAAAACTTCTTTATAACGGACCCTCTATTAAACGGAATCCTCCTTAACAGAAAAAGTCAATAATCCCAGCGCAAATAATATAATATGCAATTTCTATCTCTCTATGACGGAAAAATGTTTGGCTCTATACGATTACGTTCTATAAAGAGGTTTCGCTGTATTACTATACTTTATACTAAACGCAATGTTAAAAATATTAATATTAATATTGAGCTATTGCATTTTTAGGTATAGGTTCAACCTAACCTGTTCATACTGTTCTACCTTTTACGTTAGGTATTGACTACCAAATAAGTAACAATAAATTAATAAAAATTATATACCATCTCGTATATATATAAATAAAATAATATAAATATGTACAATTATAATATTTTATATTTTAAGTATATATAAGAATATAATAAATGTGATGACGTATTTCAAATAAACTAATAACTTTACGTGTAACTAATAATTTAGTAAAACAATAAGGTTCTTCTTAATTTATTTAGAAAAATATTCACATTAAAAAAACATTTGAAATTAGAATTATGACAAAATCGTGAAAATTTAAAAACTATTTACTTGAATTATTCTTAAATTATGTGTTTATTTATTTCGTAGTTAAAAATGTTAAAATTCATAAAATGTCTATTCTCCACAACACCTAAGATTTAAAAACGTAATACAAGGTTATTTATAAATTTGTTTAATGGTAATTTAATAAAAAGTTTATCGTAAAACACATCATATCAATGAGTGATTGAATTTCAAATTTTAATGATATTGGATATGCAAACGTAAAATTACGATATTTCCTAAAACAGTTTTTGATATCTAGTTGTAATTTAATAATAGTTTATCGTTGAAACTCGAAATATTTCWCAATAACCTTCATTTACCACATCCAATAAAATTTTCAAAATAGTTAAATTAATTTTAAACTATTTGTAGGTGCTTTTTACTGATGTGTAATAAAGTAATTTAATTACCTAAGTAATAATGTTAGAATAAATAAATAATTTATAAAATAATTAATTATCATAATATAAATGAATTGGACAAAAAATTATAAAAAAATTTCTAACGCAGTTCTATGATGTCGATACACGTAGTAGGTAATTTGTTTGTCCAGTTTAATATGAGCGATTTCATAAATTATAATATATACCTTTATGTTTAGTATAATTATTATACTTAAATAAAATAATTACTACTATTAATATAATTTACTCAAACAATAAATTCATCATTTATTTATAGCTCATTTTTATTTGCGTAAATATTGAGACAAATTTTATTGTTAAATAAATAAATTCTATCACCTATACAAATACAGCATGTACATTTTTCGCGTTATTTAATAACATTTTGATTTTTTTTAGAGTACAGAATTCGACCAATTTTTACAATCGACTTTATTTTAATGATATCGATATACACATTTTTACGGATTGCGCTAAATGCTGTTGAAATAATGTCTTACGGTTTATAAGCCTCAATGGTGATATTAAATCTATGATAAATATGACGTACTACTTCCTCAATAAAAGTCACTTTTAGCAAAACACTGATTAGAGTTATTAAACGTGAGTGTGTCGTTTATTATTATTACTGACCATAGGTCGTAATTTATGGTGAAAAATTATTTTATTGCTTATGTCTAATATATTCTTTGTACTAATTTAAGTACTTTATTTTAACATCCAGACATCTGAATACCAGAATACGGTGTTATCGTATTATAAATGCCAACTGAGGTGTAACTCTGTTTCCGATAAAATAATAATAATACATCATTAAAGTCAAATATAATTGTGGTTTGTAGGTACATTAATTTTAGTGTTTACGTACCTAAATATACTGTATAGTAATTATAATTATTTAATTATTTAATTATGAAACGCAAAGTTGCAGTGATATTTATAAGGCATTCTAATAAACAAATAATTTAAAAATTTAAAAATTTATTTTACGTAAATTATACTTTTCTATACTTTATAGTTTATATTATGATATATTTTATACAAATTATTCAAAATACATTACAATAAGTAATTTTAAAATGTTTATTTTGTTTGGATAAATCTAAATATTGTTTATAGGGGTTTGTTTGAATTTAACAAAGAAGGAAGGTATGAATCTATATTGAATACATTGAATATGCTTAACAACAATTTAAATGAATGGTAGGCAGGTAACCTACCTATTAGTTTTATAACATTAATTGCGTGTATTATCTTTAAGTCTCGCATACTAAAAAGTAGTAAAATAGCTTTATTATTTAAATTTGGTTATGATTTCAGGTAGGAGATTTCTTCTAATCGGTGTAGAAATTTAAAAATTCGTAAAAATTAACGCAACATTAGTTTTTGGCTTCATCGATTTTATTTTCTATTTTAATTCAAAAATAAATCACCATAATATATAAGTATTTAAATTTTTTACTTATTATTTAACGTAGTGTTATGTAATAGAATTTTTTGGACATTGGTATAATATATTTTGGTTCTTTTTATAATATTTATTATMTGTAGTCAAATAATTTTTTTAAAGTTTTTTTCCACAAATATTGATAAAAATATTATGTTTCGAAAAATAGTTTAAAAATTTAATACATCTAATACAAGTAGTTTCATAAGTTGTATTTATAGCTGTCTAAAAACATTGAATACATTATATTGCTACAATTTTTTTTATTAGTGTTTGAAGTTCACATTCGAACAAAATTCGTAAAAATCACAAAAATTTGCAATTTATTTTGTTGTTAAAAATGCAATTCTTGAGTATTAAATACTTAGTTACTTATATAAGTTGCTTTTACAAAAAYTTAAAACATATTGATGATAAATAAAGTAATAGAAACGTTTTTCCTTTTTCATAGAAATTTCAAGTTCGAATTTCGACGAAAGGATATTCAAACAAAAACTATATTTCTAGTTATTTTTTTGTAGTTCAAAAATATTACTAATTTTGTTATTTAAGAACTTAAAATATTCRCTAATATAAATATAATTACTTACCATATGCAATGAAATTTTTAAATATTACATTATATACCTAATAATAATGAAATAATATTAAATTTATTATTATAAAATATTATACGAGCTTTGTTTTTGGCGAATATTAGTACAGATTATACTCTTTATGTGACTTTATATAAACTATACTGTTGTAGCAATATAAATATATAATAAAATATCATTAAAATTATTGGTTAACAATCATAGAAGGTCTATCTCCCCTCAATCAGTTTTTTTTTTTATTTAACCAATTATCTATCACTGGATTCAGATTTAACACATCTATCACAGTGATTTACTAAATACTCGACATATACAATGTTTCAGTTTACAGATTTTGTATTAAAATATTTTTACCTACATTTTATTTAATNTTTTAGTTATTTTACAGTTATATTTGACACCTTGATAAAATATAATGTTTAGTGATAATCGGTTTTTATTCTGTAACAACGTGCTTAAATAATATATATATTTTATCGAAATTTACTGGTATATAAACCCTAAGGAAAATAATTTCTGGTAAGAGTTTGTGTGCTACAGAATAACTGCTAACAACTCAAATAATATTATGGGTGACTTAAAGATTTTAGCCATGATAGTTATGGTGTTAGTTGCTAAGGTTATTATTTAAAACTAAAAAAATAAAAATTGTATACATTTTAATGAAACATTTTATTTGGTGTGTTATAGGATGGTGCTTTTTCATGTTCATTGCGAAGTCATAAACATGGTTCATCTCATTCGTGTTTGCCTTCAACGTCTGATTCTACATCWAACTCACACCTTACACCGGTTTCAATTGCAATATCTTCACCTTTTGATTCCTCGTCTAGTTCGAGTCATGCTAATAGCCCAGCCATATCTTCTATACCAACCATTTCTCAAGACATGTCTTCACCGTGCCCTCTACTTACAGCAACGTCAAACAAAAACGTAGTTCCAGGTAAAAAACCATATTCTATATCTCACCCTGTCGGGCCTTTGTTGAGTGAATTATCAGACGTGGTGTGTGGTTCACCCTCATCATCTAACCATCCAGTTCCAGTACCAGTTCCTGAGAAATCTCCAACACTCACTCCGACACCAGTTCTAGAACACGGACCAGAAATAGMACCTGAAGAATTTCCAGCACCAAGTAATGCGCCAGTTTCAATACCGGTAGAATCTTCAATGTCTACTCCAACTTCATCTTACAGTTACAATCCAGTCTTTATAAATCTTTTACATAAACTATTATTGGCCTCTCAAGCAAAAACTGGGTTGTCTTCTTCTCCATTACAAACTAAAACACATGCCACGCCCACATTGAACACAACGCCCGTATCGGCTCCAATTATAAGGCCACTTAACATATCACCTGCATGTGGAACATCGTCTGAGTCGTCAAGTTCTTGTTCATCAACTATAATCCATAATCATTCAAATGGTTCGATTTCTCGTCTTCAACAAATACTGATGTCCATGACACCTCTACCCAGTTCAGGCATATCTTTTGGTTATAATCCAGAATTTATGAAACTATTGATTAAAAACTTGTTATCTAATCATACTTCTTCATTACCTCCACTGCCGTCATTAAATTCAATTCTTCGGGCTAAATTAAACACCACTCCAATAGTTCCTCTTGATTCGAATCCAATACCAACGTCTACTACTAATAGACCACTATCTGAGTTAAATCCTAATGTATTCAATATATCATCAAATAATACATTTGATTCAGTTCCTGTCGGTTCCGACACCAATCAAAATATATCCATTAGTAATGATCAGTTTCTCACCAATATTTTAATTAATCTTTTAACCTCTTCCAATGCTACAAATACTTCTCTCCCTCCATGTTTACCGTCAACAAACTCAAATTCTATATCTAAATTAAACACTACTTCAGTATCACCTRTTCTCTGCATACCACCGTTTAATTCATTACCAGATGCTTTAAGTAAAATTCCCAATATCAAACCCGGTTCTAATCCATCTTTTCCTGGTTTAGTCCCAAGTCCCATTATCACATCATTGCCAAATATAAAACCATTTTTAGAAAGAGTTAAAAATTTCAATCTTGTACCAACTCTAACACCTACCTCGTATCCGTTATCATCATCATCGGATATTAACTTATGTCACTCAAAACACAAAAAACCACTACAATTGTCTGGTTCGACATCAACTGCTATTGATCCATGTCTTCAGAATGTTATACGACCGCATACACCACATTTGCCATTACCATGCTCACTATCTCATACTAAATTAAGTTCTGGTTGTAAACATTAATTACCCGCCATTTAATTTAATTAAATTGTATTTGATATAAAAGTTAATATTAAACAACGCTATCTATTATAAAATGTATAAAAAGTTATTGTAGGAACAACGCATTTTGTAATATTTTGTTATACCTATTWTTATTAATTTTAATAATTATTTACAATTTATTAAATTTCCAGCTAAGKTATATTGTATAGAAAAAAACATGAATAATAATGATATACTAAATATATATTTAATGATATTGTTAATTATATGTAAAATAAAGGATACGAACTGAGGTATAAAGTACGTAATATAATTTATCATTCCACATCATTCTTAAAATTTAAATTGTATCAAAATTTTAGTAATTATATTTTTAATTCAATATAGTTAGGCAAATACAGCAACAATTTTAAACATTTAAAATAAATTGAATATTATTAAAACATGTTTAGAATTTATATTGAACTGTAGGAGTCAGATATACATACGAGTAGATAAAATTAACACTAATTATAAATTAGGTAATTACGTTTTATTGTACCCATTCTTAAATTTCACAATAATAATATTTATATGCAGCATTTTTAAATATATTATAATTATATTATTTTTTATTTTATTAAAAAATAACAAAATTACTATTAAARCATTRCAGTAAGTTAATAGATAAAAAAGTAAATGGGAATTTTTATACAAATTAAATTTTATCGAATTAATTTTTTTAATGTAACTCAAAAACTAATAACCTTAGATAACTTCTATAAGGACCGGAAGAGAAGTACTGGCAGCATAATTTCTTCTCCGATCCTCGGTATCATAAAAAAAATATAATTTTTACAAAATATTTGTTTAATAATTTTCCATACATGGTAACATWTTTGAAATATTTTGACTCTTTTTGATCTCAAACAAAACAATGCTTTAGTATTTAATTATTAAAAGATTAAAACATATAATATATTCATATGTAGATATTATGTTGAAATAAATTAATTGTATATAAATACACACATTTATAATTTGATAAACAAATTGAAACAATTTGACTCATAACAAATTTAAAACCACTATATTTGAACAAAAAATTAATTTGTTGTAATTTATAAATATAGTTTAAATTATATAATATTTTGAAAATAGTATAATATATTCAGATAAACCTATGTATTTCAACCTCAATAGGTGTCCGACGTCCGTATCCCATAAACGGAGTGATCATCATATGATTGTGTCGATAAAAATTTTTCGCTCTGACAAAAAACTTGAAATTTCAATACAAAGTTTCTCATTACCTAGCTGTTAATAAAGATAATCATTTAAAAATAATAAAAATACACTTATGCCTTTTGATACCTGCGTTATTGTTTKTATTAGTATTTCACTATTGTATTTGTAATTTAAAGTTTTACAATTTTAGTCTAAATTACAAATCATTTTGTAGTTAAGAATTTATAAAATGTACATTTTGTATAACTAAGGATTGAATATTTTATACAAAGTTTCTTCATAAGTCATTTAGGTATACTGTAACCAAAAAGATTATAAAAAATGTAGATGTAAACACATTTTATTTCGATAGACATTTTAAGTCCAAWTTCTTACGAAATTTAGAATAGTAACAATTTTRGTTACGYTGTTCTAATTCGAAATATTATTTATGGGTACCTRCTTAAAACTTTTGTTTTCAGATACAATAAATTACTAATAATATAATTTAATATAAACATAAAAAAATATATGATATACTTGGGTAAGTAAATTGTCTTCGCTCAGGTTAGTTTCTCATATGCATTGATTTATAATTGAATTATAGCTTAACACATCAGTTACACTCTTACTCCTTAATTCACCAATACCTACTATTCATCTGAGAAGTTAATCCATTATTTTTGTACTTTCCGCCAAAGAAAGATAGGTATTATTCGGAGTATTTCAATTTATAAAAATCAATTAGCTATGAATATTTCAAGTTTATATGAGTGGAGTARTARTGACTCAGCATTTGACCAGGATAGGTACTCCTGTGTCATTTCACTCCACTCATCAAAACTCCAAATATTTATAYCTTATAAATTACTCATCCAAAATCCAGTTTTTGAAAATAGAGAAAAATAGTAAATTATTACGATAGTTAATAGAAAAATTATAKATATTTCGGGAAAAATTTGTTTTTTAAATACTTAAAATTTATAAAATATATTTTTTCTAAAACGTTTTATGAAGAGGGATACATATTGTCTTCAATTTAACTTACATTGTTTACTAATCAATCTAAATATATTAACAYAAAATGAATTTTGTGAAATTTAATATCAATGTATCACCATTACACAATTCTTGGTTAACTTCATTGCCTAAAAAATCATAGGTAGGTACCTATATTTTAAGATTCAGAACTCATATACCTCACAACTCACAACCCAACGTATTATTTTAAATATATTGAGTGAGTGAGTTCCAGTTATATAATGATATACATTTATTGAATTGYGGAAAATAAATCCCCGCTAAAAAATCTCCAGTAGCATTATACCGTGGATAATATAAATAATTTAATATATGTATAATAAATTATATATGAAAAATAAAATAAATATTGTATTTTAGGTATATTAACAATTGTTATTTTATAAAAACTGTMTTATACCTAAAAAATACAATAAAAAATGTATAAATAACTATTAACAATAATGAAATATAAATAGTTTACCGAGATACCGAACCAGCAGTTTCTTTGCAGTATAGCCGTATAATAGGTACCTTATACCATATAATATGATCGTTATAACATCTATTTATTGCAATCGAAAAAAGTTCATTATCTCTAATTGTGTACCTACCTGAATACCTATAAAATACTTACMTACATTGGAAAAACACTCCTACGACGATTATAGGATGCGTGGTATCTTCTATCTACTAGGTATCTAATATTTTAAACCGGAACTGAAACAAATAATAACTAATTGGTCAGTTGGAAATTGGAATAACATCTTGATCGCGTTTATTTTGAGTACCTATTTTGGCATACATTTTATATGCGTATAATGTAATACATTTATATATTTAGTAATATTTAATATATTATAAAATAACAATTTTTAACATAATATACAATATTCAATTTTATTTTTCATATAATAAAATTTATAAAATAATATAATACTACCAGGGATTTTTTTCCATCTACTACATTTATTGGTATAATTTTTTGGTATACATGGTTATTAGTTAAGAATTTGATCTTCAAATAGTACAAAAAAATCCCTATGATATAACCATGTTAATGATTTCTTTAAACATCATAAAACTTTAATACAAAATTACTGTCAAAAAAAAATAGAATGTATTATAATATCATTTAAATTATACAATGAACAAATATTATAATATACTTTTGGTCTCTTATTATTTTTCTTAACTCGTAAGCAATAACCCATGTATCTATCAATAGGTAATTAGCTATATTTTTATTTCATAAAATATTTCATTACAATATTCATTATAACTATTAACTTTATAATACTATGTATACATTAATAATTTAAGTTCTAAAATCAATAACATAAAAAACAATTTAAATTTAATTATTTAATTGATTATATATATTATATATATATTATTATTAATTCATTATATATACAAATTATTTGTAACAATCTTGGTACTCTGGATGAGTAAATATCATACTCACGATAAAATTAATTACTTATAAATAATATAACTTCAATGTCACTCAATATTTAAAAATAAAAACTATTTAAAAGACATGGTATAATAATATGATTATCAGTGAGTTATCAGTGAGTTATCACTATGACCATGCTATGCTATTTTATTATGTATAACGCAAAAATCATATAATTTATAAAATAACTACATAACATTTTGGTCGATAACTTGTACTAAACTATAATATATTAAGTGTAAAAACTATACTACATATTATATATATACATACGATAATTGAAACAGTACCACAAGGTGTATGTATAGACCACAGACGGGAAACACGTTAACTGTCATGGACTGCTGGAATTTATACTATGCTTGGCGTCGTCGTAATGCCCGACGGAGGTTGTGCAGATGGCACGACGTCGGAAGTTGACGCGGAGGCGGTATCTGCGGCGGGTACGGTGTTCGATACTGGCGCCGAGATCGCTCCTAACGCGGAACCGGAAGCTTCCGGCGCGACGAAAGTAGAGTCTAATGTGTTAATAGGAGCCGAAGCAGGTACGTTGGCAGAACCGGGATCCGATGTTAGGACTGCATCGCTTGCGATTACGCTGTCCGCGGGGTTTGTGGCCGGAGATGGGCTCGGCGGCGTGGACGGTGCTGCAGTTTCTGTTGCATATGTCGATTTCGACTCGTTGGCGGCCACTTTTTCGGTTGTTTCCGTTTTCGCTGCTGACGCTGCCGCTGCTTGGAGTATAGCGTTTTCGGATACGGTGGCGACGGCAGGGGGTGGAGTAGTGATGAGTGCCGGTGGAGCAGGCGACAAAGATGGGAGTAAACGGTCTGAGGGGACTGCGGGATTTAATAAATCGGAGCCGGGTCCTGAAACAGACAACAAAAGTGAAAGGAACTGTTGTAGTTSAGCCGTGCTAATCTGCGGGTTAGACGTTGCAGGATAAGGAGTAGGCGTTAATGATGGCACAGGCAAACTTGCAGGCGTGAAACTACGAGATGACGAGCTCAACGGCGGTAACGGTAACCGGTGTGCCGGTTTCAGTTTAGTGAAATACTCGAGCAAGAGATCGATAAGAATTTGGTCGTTACCGGAAGTGCTCGCCGAGACGGGCGATAAATAATGCGGTACTGAGACCGGCGGAAGTGCRGCAGCAGGAACTGGATTTGATATTGAAGACTTAAACGAAACGGGTGAAATACTTGGAATTTTATTTAACGCGTCGGGGTATTGCCGTCCGTGTGTCGGTGTTGCACACGAGGTCGGCGTGCGGCGTGGGATCGCTGGAGTCGGATCGGCGGCACCTGGAGTGGAACACACTGGCTGTAGACCTGGAGCCTTGTGACTTCGCAGTGTACACGAATGAACGCCATCCTATAACATTATAATAACACGGAAAATTATTTTATGATACGATCAAATATTTATATGAATAAAATACTATAATTATCGTTAATATTTTATCGCATGACACGACATTATAATATTATTGTTATTATTTATTAACCTTTAGTAACGTATATACCTACAAAGCGTGCACCTATCAAAGCTCATAAATTTGCGCGCGTGGGAGGTAATCTTCATTCGTTCAAATAATATTAGTATTATTGATACAATTTTACTAATCACCAAAGTATATTTTACATATTTTTGTTAGAAATTATACATTTTATTTTCACTCATTATTGATGTATATTAATTGTTAGGTAAGATTTTTTTTCCATTAATTTGTATGCGTTATATACGAATATTTATACCACGAGCGTGTTACCAAAGGTTAAAGATAAATAATTTTTTAAAACTTTATTAAAGTATGACGACGGCCATGATGATATGTACCTGCGCAACCTGCAATGACACGAGTATCCCTAATAAAAATGTCCAACCAGCCATCATTAGTACAATTTAAGTAATAAGTATAAGTACAACGGAGTTCAGCTACACACTGATTTGCTCGATTGCACTTATTTGGGTTTATATAGGTACCTATAAACCACGGTTAAATGTCGATAACACAAACGTTATCATGGCACGTTACCGCCACATCAAATAGATTATACGATTTTGTATTCGTAATAATACAATATAGAATAACATTTCAATAACAAGGTGTCAAATGTACGACTGCCAGAAATAAGAATGCAGGATATCGTGATGGTAAACAGACAGATAGGAGTACACGCATTTATGAAATACTGTGAGATAATCGTGTGATTATATAAATYATAATATTATATKAGTACCTATATATTATTATGCCTATCAAGAGTATTATAACACCACGCGTATTTATAATCAGCTCATTCAACGACAGTTTTTTCCATGCTAAGTCTGCGTACCTACATTGTTAAATTAGTGGGCAAGCGATTTTAGTCGAAAATCTAATGAATTATTACGTAATATAAACTTTTATAATTATGAGTACCTATCAGTGAAACTGGAATTATTTATATTTTATTATCCTATGTGGGGTCAATTTACCACTAGAAAACAACTAGAAATTTTTAAGAGTAGGTACTACAGGTACAAAGTGGATATAACTATATGTTTATATGACAAACTATACACCTACAGGAGATTGCGTGATTTTATTTTATACATWTTTAGTGATATATTATTATTATTATTACATTAGATATAATAATTATAGGTATASTGTGTCATTCRTTTTTCTATTTTTTATTTTAAATTGATAATTTCATGTGATAATCAAACATTCAAAAACAGAATAAGAAAATTCCTTTTCAAAAATGATATGCAACATCGAATTATTTTTAATATGTTAATCTCACTAATAACTCATAAGCATTGATGGTTATCAGCAAGTCTAAATGAAATTTCAATTTTCATAATAATTGGATAATTCACGTAGAMATAGCCAATAAACTGAATAAGCTATCATAAAACATAAAATCTTATCAAAATATTAAACGGACCACAAAGTTTTGTTATGTGAAATATAATATAATATACATAAAGYGATATGCATAAAATGATTTATTTGAACCCGAAGTTTTACTATATCGTCCTTCCACCGTGGTGTCTACGTAAGACACCAAATACACGCCACTGATGAGTATTTTCTATCACGCTAAAATATAATATAAATGTCAACAATTTGAGCAATTTATCTACATGGTATGGTAGGTAACACACTAATACCTATATTTTATTTGCTAAATATGTATTGTATTAAGGAATGGGATCGGATAGAGAAAATAATTATTTACCAATACCAACTTTTTGTAAATTTTGCATAAAAATTACATGCATGTAACCTAGTTTAATATACCTATATATCACTTTAGAAAAAAACAAGTTTTAATATTATTTATGCCCTATACATATATGATGTGTTTATTAATATGTAAATACCAATTATTAATTTCTGCGGTGCCTAAGGTTATTATTTTTTTATCAAATGCCTAATATAAATAAATTATCAAAAAAAAAATCATCAAAAATGTTTATGTTTACTACAATTGATCGTACGAATTGTGTTTTATACTTTAATGTTATGAAATCTGAATAGAAAACTAGGTACATATATTATGTCACGTGGATAACTTACAACTATAGAAGGAATAGGAACCTATATTATGAAAACATGATTATACCTAATACCTATGTAGTATAGGTACCAAATAAGCAAGTTTAGCTAATCACCATTTTCAATATTAATTTATGTTACTATAATAACACGTTATTCGTACATATATAGTCACCTATAGACCATGTGCTATAGAAAATATAAGAAATCTAGAAATCTGTCTATGTATAATCGTATTGTWTATAAAATATTGGGAAAAGAATTTATCGTAATTATTGCATTTAAAATGCAGTGTCAAGACAAGCTAGGTAAGTTACCAGCTGTATGTCAGCTAAAAAAGAAACAATAATGATGCGTACCTATATGTTATTATGTATATTTCTTAATTATTTTTAGATAATATWATATTATACTCCGTAGTATACAACGTAATATTATGTATAATGRTAAGAAAATTAAAGTGAATAATTTTTTTTGTGTAGGCAATATATTGACAGGAGTGCTTATGGTTTCAAATACCTACGCCGTATAATAATTATAAGAATGTCAAATGGGGCTGATTGTGGACATAAACATTGATTGATAATATTATGTATTATAATATATTATTTTAATAAATGGTGTTTATTTTAGGGGACCATAGATTTTAAATTCTAGACTAATGAATATATTAATTTCATTTCAATTCTTAAACCTAATGAATATATTTTATTACATTTCGAACTAAGAATTAAAGATAAACATTTTATGAATTTTTATTTTTAAATCATTTTTTTCAAAAACTGTTGCTATTTCAGTCAGGAATATATTTTTTTAGGGTTTTTCGATTATTAATAAATTAACAGGATTTTTCACCAACAACTACCTTCCCCCCATCCAATCTCCCTCACTTTCAAGTAACAACTGTATTCATATTTCCAATAAAAACAACCTTCTAAGACTTAGAATCTATATACCTATACCTACTTAGAATCTAAGTTAAAGATTAAAGTATCTTTTTTTCCTATAAAAAATATCTCCAGGAACAAAAAAAATAACAAATCAATGAAATGCAAAATTATTCGCTAATCATTCCCTTTGAACTTAAAATACAATGGTAATATAGTTATGCTATTCTAGTTGTACTGATGTGATTGTGTGTGGATAACTACTGTTTAAATTTTTTAATCACTTAAAAGCGAAAATCTTATATGCAAGAAGCTCGAACTCAGGTGCGAAACGTGCCTCTGTGTATATTCCTAGAATGGCCTACCCGGCACCTGCCTATACGTTCGAACAAATTTAAATATTAACACCATCAGGTGGGAACACGAGCACGTGTCACATCCAAAATATTGAATAAAAAGAATGATATTGTGTCAGTCATATAGTCGATAATTCGATATAATCGGAAATTATTGAGGAGGATTAAAGGTATATTGGTATGGGATAGAAAATAAATTGCAAATAATCGATGAATCGTATTATATTTTTTTTTTTGTTTATTCATCAATTACCTATAATGAGATTATCAATAAACTACCGGCAATGCGGATGTAATATGACATTAAAAGCACCAATTATACATAATATAATAATATAATAAAAAATACAATATATGGTTTGTGCCAAGATTTGTAGACCATAAGCACCAAAAATATGAATAAGAAAAACTATAACTTGTGTTTTTTATCAATATTCATATTTTTCGTATTTCAAAATATTTAWAATTGTCAATAATTGAATAATCGATAATACTGTTGTAAAAATTTATATTTTCTGTCAAAATACATAAACAATAAAACGCTTTTATCCGTCATTACTTATTTTTGTAAAAATATTTTTCACTTCGTTGCCGATAGCTTRCTAAGTACGTACCTAYTAACTATATTATAATTATTCGTAAGTTATAAAACAACAATTCTTGCACACCCTATTGCAATCAGAATATCAGATACTAAGTTTGTTGAATAAAATATACGTTTAGCGTTTGTCTTTAACAATATTTATCTACATAGTTTTAAATTTAATACCTAACTGAAATGAAACACTGGTATCTGGTATTTTGACATTTATTCTTTCACCAGGCGAGCGGGTACAAGACGAGCTCTGTGACATAGTAAAATATTTTGTGCCCAAAATGCTATTTTATTGCGTTCTAATAGTCGTCGTTATTTTCGTTCATAATAATACACATTACACAACAGACATTAATTAATCATAATTTAATTATCATTATGATGCGATGAGGTAAAATATTTGTGCCCTACGCCAACACCTACCAGACAAGACACGCGCCACTGATTACAATGAATTATAAAATATTCTTAGAATAAAGTCTGGCCAACATCGTCACCGCTCAAAAACTGTTGTTTTTTTAAATCATTGAATTCAAATCGATCGCATTTATTTAACATGTTAAACATTTAAATTTAACAGTGTAGACATGATTTCAAGCTACACTTGAAAATATGCTAGCATCAGATCGAATTCCTCGATTATTTTAAACCTGTTTTTTTTTTTCCATTGGACGCTAATAGGTATTCATATAATAATATACAAAGTGCTTACGTTAAAACAAGTTTATTTTAACACTATATTTATTTATAGTACCTRCGTATCAAACATCAGGTACCTACGTCATACGTACATTACGTCGTCTCATTTATGGTTACGTTTTTGACCTTGAAATTTCATCATATAACTATCATATCATACCGATAATTCCATGTCTGTAAATTCATGGGTTAGGCCCGATTTATAAGTTAAACATGGTGTACATAATATGACGTACGTAAGGTTAGGTATTATAGTGGATCGCAGTGAATATTTGCCAATTAGTCAATTAAATATGTTATCGTAAAAACCAAATCGTATACACTATACATATATATATAGAATTGTATGCAAGTGGCGTCATAAGCTATATGCAACACAATTTTTTTCACAAAAAATAAACGCTACAATAATTAGCACTTTTGTAGATGCGACTTGRCGAACAACCGCGTTACAAAAAAACTATTACTATATTAATAATATTAATTATATTATATTCGATATAATATTTCATGTATTAGTCATATAATATTAGACTCATAATTATTATTCGTATATAAATGTCAAGTGTACTTACCTCGTAAATCGTATTGAGTTGATCACTCGTCTTGGATACTCTGAGTTAAATTTGAATTCATTGATAAATAATTGTACAGGGTGATTTTTTTATCGAAGAACACTCATACTCATACACTCATACTTTTTAAATAATGAGTGTTCTTCGATAAAAAAATCACTCTGTATACAAAAATCGATTTTTAGTGGAAACGGTCTGTCAATCTATTACTATATTATATTCATATAAACTTATTGCTACTGATGATTAATGGTAAAAAATTTATTTTTTT